GCAACACTATACCCTAATTACAATTTTACAATTCAGCAAGTGTGTGTTAAATGTCTCCTACATGGAAGGCACTGTGATAATGTCTGGGGATACAAAAACAAAGATGAAAACCAGTCCCTGCCCTGAAGGAGCTAATGTTGGACTTGTTACAAAGCAGGAACTCATGTTCCAGAGCTGGAGAAGGCCTGAAGGACCATCTCATTCAACCTTCTCAGTTCATAAGTGAGGACACAAAAGTCCTTGTGTACTCTGCCCAAGTGCAGCCTAGTCTAGGACATTGAGTTCAGATCTGGGGACCACAGGTTAAGAGGGATATCCATAACACAGAGGGCTCCCAGGGGACAGGGGAGGGCAATCAAGATGGTGACAAGCCTTGAAGGGCCGGAGGGAATGAGCATTTGTATAGTAAGTACTATGTGCCCGAACACTATGCTAAATGCTTTTTTACAAATATCTCATTTGATCCTCACAAGTCATTACCATGCCCATTATCACTGAATGGGTGTTGCCCAGTCAAAGTGAGGACTTGGAAAGACCTTAGCTTACAAAGGCCAAGGTCTCTCACTGCACTTAGGGCCATCTCCAGTTGTCCTGATCTATATCTTGCCACTGGACCCAGATGGCTCTGGAGGAGAAAGGGAGGCTGGTGACTTTGCACAGCCCTCCTTCACTGTAATCCAATTCATTTGCATGTTGTGGCATCATCTTCCCAATGTCCTGGTCCTTTTCAAGAATGAAGGACAAATAACAACAAAAAAGGAAACTGAGACAGACAGAGGTTGAACAGCTTCCCCCTAAGCAGGTGTCTGAGGTCACATTTGAACTCGGGTCTTCCTGACTCCAGGCTCAATGCACCATCCACTGTATCACCAGCTGCCCTGAGCCCATACCATCCAAGGATGGGTTGAAGGAATTGAGGGTGTTGAGCCTGGAGCAGAGAAGACTGAGTGTAGAAGATGGTATCTGCCTTCAAGTGTTTTAAAAGCTGCCCCCGTGGAAGAGGAATTAAGCCAACGATGTCTGGCTCTAGAGGACAAACCCAGAAACATTGGGCAGAAATTGAACAAAGACTGATTCAGGCTAGAACTTCCTATTGGAACTGTCCAAGAATGGAATGGATTTGAGAGTCACCGGCTTCCTCCCTCACTGGAGATCTCCAAGCAGGCACCAGATGGCCACTTTTGAGCTATTAGAGTGGCTATGGGGTATGGACCAGATGAACACAGAGGTCCCCTCCTTAGTAAATTCTAGGATTCTGGGAAACTGAGACCTAGAAAGTGTAAGTGACTTGCCCAAGGTCACACAGCAGAGCCCAAATTTGCACGTGGGCCTCTCCAACTTGAATGCTTTTTTCTAACACAATAGACTGCCCAAGTAAGGTGTCCTCTTTTATATCAAGGCAGTGCTTGTGAGAGGGAAGGTTTATTGCTTTCACTGCATCTCCCACCGCCACCCCCCTATCCAGCCACTGATGCCTTTCCTTCCAAGGCTAGTTTATACTTTGTGTGTATATGCCTCATGTGTACTGTTATTGGCACATACTATCTTCACCATTAACATGTAAAAAGTTCTTTGAGAGCAGGGCAGCCTTACTCTTGTCTGCAGGCTTGGTGCCGGAAACATCTATCAACCAATCAATGAGCAACTCTGTGCCAGGCCAGATGCCAAGCAATGGGGATGTCTGACAAGAGTGCAACAGTAGCTGCCCTCAATGAGCTTACTTTCTAATGGGGGAAACCTAACTAGGCACCTACAAGATACCCACAGGGTGGAGGAAAGGTAACCTTAGAGGGGAAAGCACCAGTAGCTGAGGGGACCAAGAAATGGCTCCTGAAGAAGGTTCTGTTTGAGGTGAGTCTTGAAGGAAATCAGGGATTCTAAGCAGAGGTGAGAAGGGAGGGCGTTCCAGGCATGGAGAACAGCCAGTGCAAAGGCATGGCCACTGGAGTGGACAATATCCATGTTGTGGATAAGGGATAATAAGTAGGTCAGTGTAACTGGACCCTGGAGTGAGTGGAAGGGAGTAAGGCATATAAGAAGACTGGAAAGTAGGAAGGGGACAGGTTCTGTTGAGTTGGTTAAAATGGGATTGAGTGACTCACCCACCCCCTGGAGGCCCGCCTTACTGTGATGTGTGAGGCCCGAAGAAGTTACAATAACAGCATTGTCTCTACCTGGGGCTGCTACTGTATCTTATTGACAAAATGACTTTGCAACAGTATCCCTTTCTGCAACAGCCCTCAGGTGGCAGTTAGACTAGGATTCTGATTGTATCAGGATGGGGATTCCAAGGTAGGTCTCCTAATACCTTTTTTCTTTTTTTGATTAGGCAATGGGGTTAAGTGACTTGCACAGGGTCACACAGCTAGTAAGTGTTACGTGTTTGAGGCCAGATTTGAACTCAGGTACTCCTGAATCCAGGGCCGGTACTCTATCCACTGCACCACTTAGCTGCCCCCCAATACCCATTACCTTCTTTCTAATGTGCCATGCTGATTCTCTTAGAGGGACTTCTCCAACTATTACATAAGGGAAGGCACAGCTGTGTGGTACTTCTCTCAAAGACAAGCAAGAATGACCCACCAGCCTTGGTCTATATTGCTAGAAAAAGGCAGGAGAGTCCAACCAAGCTCCCTTTAATCTCCTGACTTCTTTGCTGTCTTTTAGATTCTCAGAGTGGGTAGGGACCTCAGAGGGTCTAGTGTGATCCATACCCGAAAAGAAATCCCCTCTAGGAAATCCTCTCCAGTGGTCCTCCAGTCTTTGTTGGAAGACACCCAGAGGGGAGGCACCCACTACCAAGTTAGGAGTGGACATGGCCCCATTGTTCTCCACTCTGACCCCTGGGGCCAAATACAACAAAGTGAATCTCTCTGGACAGAAAAATAGCCCTTCAAATATATTTTCCCTCCAAGCCTTCTCTTTTCCAGCATTTAACACATAGTGGCACTTAATAAATTTTTATTGACTGATTCAATTCAACAGCTTGTCAATATCCTTCTAAAATTTGATGCCCAACAGACCACAGGATTTCAAATGTGTTTTCTAGAGGTGAACCCAGCTGGAAAGGATGATAGATTGCTAAGACTTGGGGTAGCTAGGTGGCACAGTGGATAGAGAACGGGCCCTGGATTCAAGGGGACCTGCGTTCATTTCCGGCCTCAAACACGTAATACTTACTAGCTGTGTGACTGTGGGCAAGTCACTTAACCCCAATTGCTTTGCAAAAAAAAAAAGGTCAAATTTCCAAATACCATTTTAAGGGGCAGGTATAGCAGATAGAGTACCAGCTCTGAAGTGAGGAAGACCTGATTTCAAATCTAACCTCAGACACTTACTAGCTGTGTGACTTTGGGCAAATCACTTAACCCCATTGCCTAACCAAAAAAAAAAAAAAGATTGCTATGGCTTAAGTCAACAAGCATTTTACAAAGGGTTCCCCACTATGTGCCAGGTACTGTGCTAAGTGCTAGAAATACAAATACTGCCCTCAAGTCTTTACTGTTGTGGTAGTTTGGTGATTTTTGACTCTTTATGCACCCATTTGGGGTTTTGTTGTTTGGCAAAGATATTGGAATGGCTTGCCATTTCCTTCTCCAGTTCATTTTACAGATGAGGAAAAGTCAACACAGCTAGTAAGTAGCTGAGGCCAGATTTGAACTCTTGAAGGTGAATCTTCCTGACTCCAGGCCAGGCCCTTTATATGCTACCGCATCACCTAGCTGCCCCAACATTCTAATGGGGAGAAAAGAAGACCTTGGTCATCTGATGGTCCACCTGGACCCAAGGTCAATGAACTTGGTTTCCCCCCTAATATTTGGATAACTGATTTTCAATATAACTGGTTTTTTTCTTAATCCCATGTGTATTATTTTGTGCCTTTAAAAGCATGATTCTGAGAAGAGGCCCAAGCAGTCTAGGACAGTGAGTCAATAAACATTTATTAAGTGCCTACTATATGCTAGGCACTATGTTAAACACTGGAAATGCAAAGGAAAGCAAAAGACAGTCCTTGACCTTAGAGGACTTCACAATCTAACAGGAGAGGCAACATGCAAAACAAAGATATACAAACACGACATAGACAGGAGAGATTGGAAAGAATCAATAGAGGGAAGGCATGAACATTAGGGAGATCAGGAAATGAAGATGAGATTTTAGCTGAGACTTGAAGGAAGCCTGGGAAGCCAGAAGGTAGAGGTGAGGAAGGAGAGGATTCCAGGCATGAGGGACAGGTAGTGAAAATGCCTACAGTCAGGTTATGGAGTGTCTTCAGCTGGCAACAGCCCTGAGGACAGGGTCACTGAATCATTTACATAACTTACATAATAGGCAAAGCCCTGGGGTTACAGAGATTTTAAAAAAGCCTTTAGAATCTGCCCTTCAAGAGTTTGAATCTCTCAGGGCCTATCTAGGTTAAGGGACTTGCCCAAGGTCACACAGCCTGTTGTGAAAAAGCTTATCATAGTGCCAGGCATGTAGTAAGTGCTTAATAAATGCGTATTGACTGCGTGACCGATCTCCACCCCAAGTCTGCAAAACAGGGGCAACCAGGTCCAGTTAACATGCACTACAGATAGTGGGTCAAGACGAGCTGAGAAGTCAGATTGTTGGGAGGTTTCCAGGCCCCTCGTGGTGCCCCGCCTTCATCCTTGGTTACAGCCCCGCCCCTCCCTAGGGCTTCTTTATCTCCTAGCAACACCAAACATGGCTGTCGTGCGAGGCCTGCTGCGAAACGTAGTCCAGCCTCCCATGCACTAGGCCGGTCTGTACGGGTCCATGGGACAAAGAAACTACATTTCCCAAAGTTTCTAGCGTGCGCCTCTCAATGCCTCCCGAACGTCCGGGTCCCGAAGGCAACAACGGACCTGTCTTACCTGGGCGGGAGGACTCCCAGGAAGGCGCGGGGACCGTTGGGAGATGTAGTTAACTCTGGCGTCGCGCTCCGCAGTCGTGCGCCGGTTTGGCGGTAGCGGAACTACAAGTCCCAAGGGGCGGCGGGAACGCGGGGCCGAGGGCGGGGGGCACGAAGAGGAGCCTGGCCGCGAGTGGAGGCATCCAAGGCGGAGGAGGCGGCGGGGCTGGTGAGTTGAGAAAGAGATCCGAGGGGGGGGAGGCAGGAGCGGGGTGCCGGGTGCGGGAGCAGTTCCTGCGGACTGTGCGGGGTAGGGGGGAAGGGTCTTACTCTTACCCATCCTCCATCTCCATCCCTTTATCCTCACTCTGCCCCCCCATCCCCCTCCTCTGCCTCTTCCTTCCTCCTCCTCCCTGCCTCTTCCTTCCTCCTCCTCCCTCCCTCTTACTTTTTCCTTTGCCCCTTCCCCTCCCTCCCCCGTTGCCCCGTCCACGCCTTCTGCCCCTTCCCCTCCCTTGCCCCCCGCCCTCTCCCCTCACTTCCCTTCCTCCCGCCCTGTTCCCTCATTCCCCCTCCTCCCCTGTCCTATCCTACCATTTCCCTTCCCCCCTTTCCTCCTCTCTCCCCTCTCTTCCTCTCCTCTCCTTCCCCTCTCTTCTGCTCCATCTCTTCCCCTCCCTCCCTTTCTGTTCTCCTCTCCCTTTCCCCTTCTTTGCCCATCTCCCCACCTTTCCCCCCAGCTCCCCTTCTACCTGTCCAATGCGCTTTCAGTCTCCTTCCTGTCCCCTTTCCTGTACATTCTGCCCTCCCTCCTCACCCTCCAAAGAATAACCCCCTCCTCCCTTTCACCTTCTCCCTCCTGTATAATCTCTATTAGTTTTCCCTCCCCAAATCCTGAGTGAGACCCCTTGGGCAAGTCACTTCACTCTATGGGCATCCCCTAAAAATTGAGATAATTGCACTCGACTTCTGAGAGCCCTTCCAATTCTTCAACATCTGGGATCTTCTGATTTTTCATATTTTCTCCCCCTTCCCCCCCCCCATTCCCCTGTTTGTCAGTTAATAAGCATTTCTTAAGCACCTGCTATGTGCCAGGCACTATGCTAAGTGCAGGGGATACAGAGAAAGACAAAAACAGTCTCTGCTCTCAAGGGGTTCAGCCATAGTTGCAAAGTACTATATACAAACAAGAGATGTAGGGGATGTGTTGGAGCACTCTGACTTTAGTATTTGTGTGACCTGAGGAGAACCCCTTAACTCCCCTGGGCCTCAGCTTCCTCATCTGTAAAACGAGGAAGTTAGACCAAATGGCCTCTGAGGGCCCTGCCAGCTCTAGAGCTCAGGTCCTGTGAGAGCTGTTAGCAAATATTTCACTGACTGTCCTGTGGAAGAGGGAGCAGCCTTGATCTGTTTGGCCTCAGAGCAAAACTTTAGGAGCAGCTGGTAGAAGTTGAAAGCCTCCTAACTGGGAGAATTCTCTAGAAGTGGAATGGACTGCTTTGGGAGGTCCTGGGGTCTCTATAGCTGGAGGTCTTGAAAGGTAGGAAGACCAAGCACTTCTTAGATATGTCATAGAGGGGTCACTAAGTACCCCTCCAACTCTTATTACTCAAACCCCTGCCCTGTGCAGTGATAGAGTGCCTGGAGTCAGGAAGACTCCTCTTCCCGAGTTCAAATCTGGCCTCAGACACTCACTAGCTAGCTGTGTGACCCTGGGCAAGTCACTTCACCCTGTTTGCCTCGGTTTCCTTGTAAAGTGAGCTGGAGAAGGCAATGGGCAAACCATTCCAGTATCTTTGCCAAGAAAACCCCAGAGTCAGCCATGATCAGAAAAAAAGTGACTGAACAGCAACCTCCATTAAGAACAGGAAAGGGAAACCAGTACAGCCCCTTCATTTTATTTTATTTTATTTTTATTTTGGCTAGGCAATGGGGTTAAGTGACTTGCCCAGGGTCACACAGCTAGTATGTGTTATGTGTCTGAGGCCACATTTGAACTCAGGTCCTCCTGAATCCAGGGCCGGTGCTCTATCCACTGCGGCATCTAGCTGCCCCCCCCCCAGTTTATTTAGATGAGGAAAGAAGCCAGGGAGGTTGCCTTTCCCAGGGTCACACTGGGAATGAAGGTCGCGGTCAAGATGCAAACCCACACACCTCTTGTAGTTTGAAGTCTTTCACTTAGATTCATATCAAAAGGGCCTTGTCTTTCCCAGAATTCCCTTGTGTGGGGGAGACTTGAATAGCCCTGGGTGTCCTTCCACCTGGCTGGGATCGCCTCCTTACCCAGCCTTCAGAGCTTCTGGAAGGGGCTGACAGCACCAACCCAGCCCTTCATCAGCTACTGCTCTTCCCTCTGCTCAGGCTGGGTTTGCCGCCTCCTACTCGGCCTGCCCCTGGGTGACCCGAGAGTAGGGCTCCTTCGCCTGCCATCTGGCCAGTCACTCAGGGTTGTTTTACTGCATATTCTCCAGACACCCCTCAGAAAGCACATGCTTTCCTTCCTTCCGTTTAAATCCACAAACTTTTAATAGGTGCCCAGGATGTGCAAGGCACTGAGTTCAGCTCTAGGGGCTATGGCCCAAGACCCAGACCAAAGCAGTCCTGGTCCTCAGAAGGCTTCCTTTCTTCTGGTGGGGCACAATAAAGGAACAGATAGGGAAAATGGAGGTGAAACAGAAGAGGGGGGAGAGAGAAAGAGAGAAATGAAGGGAGAGAGAAAAAGACAGAAATGAGGGAAGGAAGAGAAAGAGACAGGTGCAGGAAGAGAAAAAGAGACAGAAAGAGATGAGGGGAGAAAGAGACAGAAAGATAGAAAGATGAGGGAAGTCAGGGAAAGAGAAATGAGGGAAGAGAAAAAGAAAGATGATAGAAAAAGAGAGAAAGATGAAGGGAGAGAGAGAGACAGAGAGATAAATGAGAGGAGAGAGATGAAAGAGAAAGAGACAGAGAGCTCACTAACAAATTGGCAGATGGGGATGGGGCAGGATGAGGCACCAGGGAAGGTTTCCAGGTAGATAAGGATACTGAGCAAAGGTGAGAAGGAAACGCCTGCTGTCCAGGTCAGGGTGATGGTTATCTTAAGGGCATGGAGGGGAAGAGGGAGTGTCTAGTTCAGGGAAGAAAGTCCAGGTCTCCTGCCTGCTCTTTCTCCTCCACACACCAAAAGGACCCCTTCTCTTCTCCTTTACCCACTGCCCTCCACAGCCAGCGCTCTACCCAAAAACAGTCCCCAAACAGATGCCCAGTTGAGGTTTATCTCTGTAACCACACGAATGCACCTCATTCCGGGCACCAGGCTCATAGGATGTCAGGGATAGAAAGGCCCTCAGACCAGCAAGTGCAGAGGTTCCTGACCTTGGTGCCATGGAACGCCCCCACTTGAGCCCCTCCCCCCAGCAGTGTGGTGATGCTTTGTACCGACCCCTTCTCAGAATAGTGTTCTCCAGTACAGGAAATAAAATCCATAGGGATTACAAAGGAAACCAAAGCTTAGTGATGTAGAGTTGTATTTTTCCCATCCCCCCAAATTTCCATGAACCCCAGGGTGAAGACTGTTGATGTAGCCCAACCCCCTCACTTTACAGATGAGAAGGGGGAGGCCTAACTTGCCTGCAGCCACCCAGATAGTAAATAGCAGAGGCCAGCTCTCCAAACAGAGAGCTGGGGAGCTGGCCGCAGTCTGAGAAAATCCTGATGTAAACAGCCTCTTGGCTTCTGAGCTTCTAGAGGTCTTTGCCTTTGAGGCTGGCTCAGGGAGAAAGAGAAAGGCCTCGAAAACTGAAGACTTTTCTTTGTAGAAATAGATACTGGTAACTTCCTTTGAGGAAATGCTATTAAACTGCCCAAGTAATAGCACAGCATGGCATTGTGGGTAGATTACAGGACTGGGAAGCAGAGGATCATGGGCATAGAGCTGGAAAGGACCCTAGAAGCCATCGAGTCCAACTCCTTCATCTTACAGACGAGGAAACTGAGGTCCAGACAGGGTTGAGAGACGTAACCAGAGTTGTAGAGCTACTAAGTATCTGAGGCAGGATTTGAACCCAGGTCTTCCTGGCTCTGGGTCCAGTGCCCTCTCCACTGTGCCACACTGCCTCAGTCAGGAAGACTTGCCTTTGAATCTAGCCCCTGACTCTTGCTAGCTCAGTGACCGGGGCAAGTCACTTCTCTGGGCCTCAGTTTCCCCCTCTGCAAAATGAGGGTGATGTATGTGCCAGGGTTGGGGAACCTGCAGCCCCGAGGCCACATGTGGCCCTCTAGGTCCTCAAGTGTGGCCTGGAGGCTCAGGTTCAACACCCCTGGTGTACAACACCCTACTGGGTGTTGTGAAGATCAAATGAAATGATGGATGAATAGAGAGGAAAGATAAAAGGAAGAAAGGAAACAGAAAGGATGAAAAGGAAAGAAGAAAGGGATAGATGGATAGAGATCTGACATACACATGCATGTTTTTTGCAAACTTTAAACGTGCTCTCTAAATTTCAGTCATGATCATTAACAAAAGTTTAAATGGCTTGAAACTGGATGAACGGGATTCTGTGCCGCCTCAGCAGTTCTCACCCCCAGGAGAAAGGGCTCTGGTGCAGTTCATCCCAATGAAAGGTCACCCTAAAAACCTCCACCCGCTGCCCTTAGGTGCCTTGGGCACCGTTGTCCCAAATGGTCAAACTGTTGTTCGTTAAGACCTTCAGTTAGATGAATAAAAAGAGGGTGTTAGAGTGTGGGATGGTTTTGCCAAGTCGAGCACCATTTACCACCACCCCATCTCTTTTTTTATTCCCTCCCACTGCCCCACCCTAGTTCTGCCCCCATTCCCTCCCTCCCAGACTGTCTGAAAAGCCTCCTCCCTGGTCTTCCTTCATCCATTTTGTCCTTTACAGAGTCTGACCAGACCCTTTTCAGCCTGCCTCTGTGGGTGGATGTGGGGAGGCAGAGTCTGTCTTATTCCCACTGTGAGAGCCTGAGCTCCTGCTACTGGGTCTTTATCCCTAGCACCAGACTGTGTGCTTAGTAGGGGGTTGATAAATGCTCATTGAACTTCCTTGAACTTCCCCCAAGCCCTCATTAGGCTCATTGGCAGTAAAAACCCAAGGGTATTATCAAGCAGAAAGGATTTTTATCCTCTGAAGTATTTTACGACTTATTTCCGGCTATGAAATGTTCAGCGTTTACTTTAAAAGCATGAATTGCAAGGAGCACGTCTTCCCTCTAAACAGGAAGTCTATAATC